GTAGTTTGCTCGCCTCTGGTAGGTATTCAACGTCGGCAGATGCGTCTGCCATTATGTATGTACAGTATGTAACGCACGCACTCATCTCTCCCTAGAATATAAAGCATGTAAACCTAATTAAAGGAGTTGATAATCGCAGTCAGATTTATCATTTAACGCCCAAACCACACGTTTCACTGCACACGCAATAAAGGGTTTCAGCGCGGACGTCCGTCTGACCACACGTCTCACGACGACGAGTGATCAGTAGTATCAGAGTTGCGAATAAGAGTGCACGCATGTTTGTATTTTTTCCTGCTCGTTTGTTACTTTCGTTTCCCAAATGGCAAATATGAGCACTGGCGAAACATTTAAATTCGTTTCAAGTAGATAACTTGTGGTAGCCTGTGGTATTCGAAAAACAGCCAGCATCAACCACCTTCATTTTTTCTATTTCTTTTTAATAACTCTACTGCGATGCCCCTCGAGTAGTAGTTTAAGCCTTTAAAGTAAAATAATCGTGTGGTCGGCTCGTGGTGCTTCATCTGCTGATGAATCCGTCGACGTGTAGAGGAGGTAAAAAGGTTCCAGCAGATTTTCCACTAGCTTGGGATCTTGGACGGGAATGAGCGGACCCAACTGACATTTGGAAGCTCCATCCCAGAGATGTAAGCAGTACTCCGTATGGGACCTAATTAGCGCGTTGTAAAGCAGAAGCCTCTCTGCTTGGACCGATTAAGAACTCAAGAGAGCTTATCCTTGCCCTCCAAATGGTTTATATACTGGACGTGACACGATATATCAACACCTAGTGGGATTGGGAATATGCAGCGGAACTCCTTGGAATTGTGATGTGACAGCAAATGAGTCCTTCTTTGTACTGAATATGCAAATATGTGTCTTGCTAAGGTTGAACAAGACGAGGTTCTGAATTCCCCATTCGGAGACTCACTCAAGAAAACCCTCCACTTGCAAAACCCCTCACAATAAAATTGTGTCATGTATCCACATTCTCATTCATACTTTTACACCAGGATGATTTGCAAAGCACGAAAACACCTATCCTATACATATGGACTTTGTCTGGTGGCTCATGTTACCTAATTCCCAAAAATTTAGATTACTTAGATATATGAGCAACGAAGAAATCATACAAACAGTTAGGTCTTTGGCGTTGTTGGTTTCAGCTTCAGAGTGCTAAAGAGGATTATAATGGACATTGCAAACTATAAGAGCTTAAGACGTGAGCTTTTAGTCGTTTCGATCATTTGAACAATCAGCATCCAATCCAACCAGCACCGCCTTACCTCGTGTGGATAGTTCGTTCTTTACGGTCATCAATGAACATGCGCTCACAACATCTATCCTTGGACTAACTGTAGACAGCGAAGACGCCCCGAAAGTCAAGACAATGCTTTAATGAATAAAGCCTTAAACGAGATGGAAAAGGCATTACCAATTACAAAGCAGCATCTTGAGCAGCATAGTAGTGACTTGTACAGCTTTCATTGTTCTACTTCTAATTCGTCCGTCACCAAAGGCATCGACCAGTCTTCAGGTAATCCTAAAAATGTGGAAGATCAGATGATAATAGGTTTTGGGCAACACTTTAATGAATAAATGATACTGGAGAACAAACAACTTTAGTAGGTATGCTTACACAAAATTGCAACATATAAGTTCGTTTTAGATGCGATGCGAATTCACAATGCAGAAACATAGCCTCCTAAGTGCATTGATGTGGCACTACCTTTTGTTGGCATTATGTGTCTTTTGCTAAGTTCCACGCTTTCACGCAGTTTCAACATAGCAAAGGATGAAAGTTGTGTATTAGAGGCAAATATAGATTACTGACTGATTACCACCGTTTTCTTGACTTTAGAACATAATTAAGGCCTCTTGTCAACGACCGTTGCTTCACCTGACACGAGGCCGCTGCTTTCTACTTATCCATCCTTATTATCAATGCGTTGCTAGACAAAGACAAATTGCACCTGCCCGGTTCCCGGTGAAATAACGGTCGTCAATAAGAGGTCAAAAAAGCGGACAAATTATGGAAAGTACCTGTCTCATTAAATGAGGATAGCATTTTCGTCTTTGAGTATCCCATTTTCCCCAACATCTTATCCAACACTCCAGTGGATCGTAGCACAAAGAATAATATAACAAGTGCTAGTATGGATATCAGGCAGTCGCATTTTCCTCTTCCAAATGGGCATCCTCCACCGCTACACAGCAAGCACTTCAAACGAGAAGTCACTATGAATACTACGCATATCGGTAACAGCGATATTATCTGCAGGAGGAACGATATGAAGTAGTAGATAGTCTGCAGGATCATTCTGATCACATTCTCTATCATGATGAGGATAGTTAAGAAAATTCTCACCACCATTTGTATCGAGCATATTATGATCTGTGATAATGCGAACACCGTATTGCACATACTAATAACAAAGGATACAAACAAAAAAAGTCCTGTGCATTGTGAAGACATCAATCAGAATTCAAAATACTTGATGAACTTTGATTATTAAGTAAATAACCAAAGAGTATGAAGCCAAAACTCATACGCCGCTTTTCCCTTTCCAAAGTTGAATAAGTTATTAAATTGCGATTACATTAAATGAATACACAAGTATCTTCATTACAAAAAAGTAGTATCTATTTCGCTATATACAATTCTCTATAAACTGATATCTCTATGATTCACTGATCAATGTATGGTTCTATGTTTTTTTACAAAGATTATAACGTAGTGGTTACTTTTGTCCATGATTATGATCAATTTATGTTATGATCCTTATTTATGATCAGATTGGATTCTCCCTGGTGGTAGGTGCATAACTCAAAGAATTTATTTAAGTAACCGTTACGTAAATAAATTCCTTGACTTAATCAAAATCTTTAATCTACTCTTTAACCACTACAACCTTAATTAATCTAGCGAGACCTAATTATGCTAGACTGCTCTTTACTTTGGCTTCGGGTTTTGTAACGAAGGTCAGCGTAACGAATTCCTAGGTTCATGGTCGGATTATAATTATATTGTCTATCTAGATTATGTGAAATAAAGAAAATCGTATGATTCTGGGATTATGTGAAATCGTGTGAATTCGATGAGCCGCCGACATGGTGCCATCGTGATGTAGACTTTGTTGAGACTTTCTTTGGGTCCATAGATTTATGAAGCTTGCGTTAGCTTTGGTTTAAGGAAGTTGTATAGGTAGGTTAGGTTAGGTCATGTAACTTCCTTGCTTTGGTCATAGTTTGAGATTTGGAGTAACCATGGACGAAATATCAAGGAAGCTAAATATCTACCTTGGTTGGTATTGGTAGGTACAATATTATAACTTTTTGCGAATTATATCTGTAGGACGAAGTAAGCGTAGCGAAATCTATTAAAGGTTCTGTGGTACTGTATCTGTACCATACCTGTACATAATCTGTACAATGCATGTTCTGGATATAATCCGGTCAAATTAGACTGAAAAATAAGAGTGAAGGTACATAAATTTACATCAAGGTGAAAATGAGTAAAATTGTTCAAAACTGAAATAAAAATTTCACTTAAACTTTTCCCAATTTCCGGTACTTGGAAAAAAATTTACGCGAGGTAAAGATCAAAAAAGACGATTTTTGGCGATTTATATCAAAATGGTAACTTTTTTCGTAAAGTTACCTCAGACTAAAATTGTAGATCATAAAATTATCTATAAAAAAGTATCTATATTTTTATATAACATGTGTAATAACCACATGGGTGCAATAAATAAATTTGAATTTGAGATATAACCATTTAAAAGTTGTAACCTTTGCCCTCGATTAAATTTTTTCCAAGTACCAGAGCTATGGGGAATTTTAAAATGCTTTTACTAATTATATTTTTAACAATTTTACTCACTTTCTGCTTGATGTAAATTAATGTACCTTTGAATGTCTAGATTGATCGGATTAATATTTAAAAAAAAGATCCGGTATCCGCTCTGTAGCGAACGAGCACCATAGAGGTATAAGAATAGAGTAGGGGAGATATAGACTCTACTACAAGTGGAAGTGTCTCTCTAAAAGAAAGAAAAAGAGGATGAGAGACGGATAGCTTTCTCTCTCTAATCGCGCATGCGCATTGCCAACCGTAAGCATCTTATTTTTTCGATGTGATACCATTGGATGCCTTGAGTCACAAGAGAGATAGATAGCTAGCGGTCTGTCATCTTCTTTCTCTTTTTACTAGACGGACACTTTTAGAGCCGCCTTCCCTACTCTATTCTTATACCTCTATGACGAGCACACTCCAGATCACCTCAAAATTCACTCATGTCGGCCTGGATTACTACGGCGGCCTCGTACTGCTACGCCGAGAAAAGCGCTACTTGTACAGCTGCCTTGTCACAACAGCAATAATTATATCTCGAAGTACTCACCTCACTTTCGACGGATGCTGCCTGCATTGCAATCTTGAGCGATCTTATCTCGAATTAAAAAAGATTTGGATTAAAAACGTTGACAAAAAGGCACTGAAAGCCATTCTCGCTCTATCTACCCTGGTCCCTGGATAAAGGCTCTAGGTCGGCACTGAATACTTTCAACCCCACCAAGAAAAAAAAACTGGCTGTGCCCCGCGGTGTTACCCGCGATTTATTTACAATAAAACGTAGCATTTAGGCTACGTAAATCCAGAATGTCAGCTAACTCCATACCAAATATTATTAAAATCGCTCCAGCCATTTAGACGTGAAGAAGTAAAAAATATACACACTCACAAACTTTCGCCTTTATAATATTACTGTGATAATAAGAAATTATGAAAAATAAAATCATCACAATTTAATTTATTAGACATTTTATTGAAATTAACATAATAATAACATATCGCACACAATTGTCGTAAAAATAAATAAATAAACTATATTGTTATAGCCAACATTAGAAAACGTATATAATGTATTTGGTGCGCAGCATCGGACTACATAGCGGTAGCCTCTCCCTCCCGTGGTGTGGTGTAGGTGCGACAGAGACGCCTAGAGTTTATACGCCTGACGCATCATCAGGTCGAAGAAGCAGTCGTTGTCGATGGACACGCTGATACCACTGTAGTAGTTCATGAACTCCTCCAAAGTTACCTGGAAACATCAGAATTTTCTTCAAGTTTGCGTACAGCGGCATTGGAAAGAACATAATTTGCAATTAGCTTGTATAGCGGCATTACGTTACGTCAATGCCGCTGTTTTACAAAAAAAAATATTTTTAGTTCAGTTTCTAAGGCAGTCTTTTTAAAAAAGGCAGCCTTTTTAAACCTGTGCGCAAAGTATGTTCGGTTTCCTGATTCGGTTTCCTGATCAGCAATGGAGATTTGGAATTCCGTAAGCCTAGCACTGACGTTTAGTTTTATTTTATTAGGTACTTTCCGAAACGATTTTTTTGCCATTCTGAAAAAATAAGAATAGTTTGTGTGAAACGACTCTACCCCACCTGGTTAAAGTGATGATAAAGTCTAAACGCGAAGATAGCTGGTACAGCAGTTACATACTACGACACCAACCATCCTCACCTTGCCAGCCTGTAAAAATGCTTCTTCACGCCTCTTAAAGGACCCCAAAAATGTTGTAAGGACGTGCATTCGGGCCTCCGACTCGGAATTCCTGATCAGGAAACCGTACATATGCGCTTAGCCTTAAAGTGGGCGATAAAGCTTCCTTGTGGGCGGATACTCGAAAAATACCGCACGGTCGATCACCGCACGCCCCGATCGGGGCGCGCTACCCACGGTACTATAAAGCCGTTTATTGTGATAGTTATAGCCTACTTTTGTATTAAAAAGTTTAACCATAGATTAACTTGGCGAAATGACCTATATATAGAGCCGTAAAGTTTAAATAGCCCGCATGAATTTAAAGTTTAAAACCCCAAGCAGACAAAATTTAACTCGGTCAGAGTATGTGTATGGGGGAATCACGGGTGCTCCATGGGGGGAATACACTAACCGCTAAAAAATCGTCATAATGTGATTGACATACATCTGCTTGATCTTTATATCTAAAACAAACGTTGGGAAGCTTTTTGCTCAACCTCAATTCCTGCATTTGAAATGTTATTAGATTGGATTGGGTAAAAATAAACCCTAGTAAAGAAGGTCTGGAAAACTTCGAAAATGTCGAGTTCGATTCACATTTTATAGGTTTTTTCTGTGCTACGTCACCGGGATAGAGAAAGCAAGATGAGGTTACCGAGAGAGGTAGGGCATAGTGGTTTTTTCGCTCAAATTAGAACGCTTGTCTGAGTAAGTAACCTCGATCTTACAGAAGATCACATTAAAATAACACTACTTTTTGGTGGTGTCAAGTTACTGTCGGTAAGGGTCAATTCATACTAGCGCAGAGTCGAAGCGCATCGAAGCGTAAATCCAATTGTTAACATAACAAATTCAACCTTATCTCCACAGCGCACTGCACACATTACTTCGGAGATTTAAAAAGACGCGCGCTCATTCGACGGAATTCGCGCGTCTGCGCGTGACCAACGCTGATTAGTGCGCGCGCATTCTCACGAAACCGCGCACTCACTAACCAACCTACGCGTCATCAGTCGGAAATTAGTCTGTGTAGATAGATCAACTGGCAAGGGCAGCAATAGCACTGCTACTGATAAAAGTGTATCCGCGAGAATCCGCGAGAATCCGCGGGTATTCTCGCGCATTCGTGCAACTTCGCTTTAGTTGTGAAGAATTTTACGCTTCGATCCGCTTCGACTATACGCTAGTATGAATTGACTTTAAGTAAGGTTCAAGGGATCTCGGGTACGGGATTGATCAGGGTAGGCAATGGCGCTCGTGATATTCTTTGTATCGCAAGCGTCTATAGTACAAAATTCAAATCTATTTTGTCTCAAGGCTATGGTAGCCGCTTACCATCAGGCGGGCCATATGCTTGTTTGTCACCCTTTTGACATAAAAAGGGACAGCAAGCGAAATGTTCTAGCGGTTTTGTAGGCTGAGAACATCTCCCCACAGAGATAAAAAGCGATAGTAGATAAATTAGAACGATATTTTTAATATCGTTGTAAATAAGTCATAAAGCACAATCAGGTTGGTTACAAGGCACCCCGCTTCGCCTGCAGCTTTTGTATTACGCTAAGATCTTATTCAAGATTCAAGTTTTGTGATAAACAATTCCTCATTAGTATCAGAATTTTGTTCACCTTTCCATCTACTACGCCTTCAGCCTCGAAGTTGGCGAGGAATTTATTCATGATGGTGTCTGCGCTCTCTTCTCCGCTCATGTACCTGGAACGATATAAAAACGCTATCAATATTAGCTACTGCCCCGCTACTAGCGATCTGCCCCGACTTTGAATGAAATGAAATTGTACTTTATTCAAAATGACTTATTGAATCGTCCAATATTTTTCCTACCACTCATTCAGGACATCCTTTAGGTGACAAGAAGAATGGGCGCAAGAAACTCACCAGCATATAACAGAAGAAGCAACATCTACATAAAATCATGTCGCTACCAATAATAACGACCACTCAAATTTTTATTGCTGTATCATACAATATAAATATGAATATTTTTTATATTACGTATATGCACGGATAAATTTTATTTCAAAGCGATAAAATATTCTACCCTTTCTTACTCAGGGATAATGTAGCATTGTATAGTGAAAGAATTTCTGAAATAGGTCCAGTAATTTTTGAATATTTTCTTTACCAACATACAGAAATACAAAGCTCTCCTTATAATATCAGTAAAGACAAGAGAAAATAAAATAACCCAGGTGGTATGCTATGTCATCTATTCCATTTAAAATAGGGGTGGTGGAGGCGTAAAGAAAATGCAATTCTGTTACGTCCGTCAGATAAATCATGTGTTTTATTTTGTCAATCAATGAAGCCATTACAAAGATAAAGCGCTTCAGAGTTTGGAAGTCGGCACTCGTGACGTCACTTTAAAGTAATAAATGTACCAAGGCGTGTCGTCATTCGACATTTTAAATCAATATATCTCTGTAATGTTTTGATTATGTGAGAAAAGAAAAATAGTTAGACACCATCCCGTGTGTACTGTCGTAAGCGATGGCAACCTCTCACCAAATATTCTGCAACACAGTTTTGTAAAACTATGGCAGATTTAACGTTTCATGATTATATGTACAATGAAATTGACCCAAATGGAGTTATTATTATAAAATGTATGGACAACAACAAACTACCTGTGTGGGGGGACGTCCGGTCGTTGAGGTTATTCATGTAAATGGGAGTAATAGTTTTATACATGTTTGTTTGAACGTGATTAAATCAGCGAGGGACAATGTTGTCATCGGAGACCTATGTGATATCTCACTATACCTACCACGATAATAAAGCATCATCGTCATCAGTAATTAATGTAACCGTTGATGAAGCACAACCCAGAGCTTCCCTAGGAATGGAATAGGGAGTTTGGGCCGTGTCCCACCAAGCGGGCCCAGTGCGGATTGGTGTGTGCTAACGACTGCAGATGCAGCCGGAAACAACGGCTTAACGTGCCTTCCGAATCACTGAGAAGCTCGAGATAGATAAGTTTTGGTCACCTATCCAACGACCATTGCGAAAGTTGCTTAGCTTAACTTACACACACCTGCGTCATCGAGCTACTCAAGCAAGCAGTCACATGTTTATATCACAATAGAATAAACTGAAACTTAAAAGTAGAATGAAATGGTTACATTTCGGAGAGTGTTCCGAGGTATTACATAATTTGATCCCCCCCTTCCCCTTTCCACCACCGGACGACCAGGCGTGGCGAGGGCTTTCACCCTTATGTTGTCGAAGTTCCATTCACACGAAGCAATTTGGTTCCGCTTTTATTATGCGAACAGCTTGGTAGTGGAACTCCTTGCGGAGGTCTGTTTTCCCGGACCAATATAATCTGGACATCTTCAAGGCCAGAGGCATCTGCTAGGCGGGCGTGCACCATCCTAGGCCTCATCATCGCTTTCCATCAGGCGAGATTGTGGTCCAACGCATTGCCTATTATGCATAAAAAAAAGTGAAATCTCAGACGTTTCCCGAAGAAGCCACCCATGAGTCATCATAGAAAAAATCTAATCTAAATATCTGATTTGATATTCATATTACCTAGGGTGAGCAGTGACGGAATATACGCCGCGGATATCGTCGACGGTGATGGTTCCGTCGCCACTCTTGTCCAGCTTCTTGAACGCTTGCTCCACTATGGCGCGACGGGAATCCGACATTGGGGGCTACAAGAGCAAACAATATTGAATGTTGATTAAAGAATTTTTAACAAATAAGTCTATCCTAGAAAAAACAAGCCACGTGGTACAGGCAGCAGACGGGCCTCGAACCACCCTACAACACTACCCTAAGGCTGCTTTTCCACTAGAGATGTGCGTTGCTATGGATGCGTTTGACATCCACCAATCAAATTCATTGGTCCACATAGCATAGCACTGGTGGAAGCGGGTTCAACTATATAATGTTTTTACATGGAAGAATGCGTGCTATGTATGCGTGCTCTGGGCTATGATGACCGCGAGTGGTGTAGCTATATCAAGAGAAGAGTGCCCGCGTGAAAGTAGTGACTGAAAGTAGACATGGTGTCGTGGAAGCAAAAAGTTATTTTGAATCTCGCAATGTGCGAAGAAGAACCCATGGTGGAAGATATTTCCTCTGTTTACTCCATATAAGAAATAAATCTTCATAGCACATCTTACTCGCCCCGCTACATAGCTTAGCATCAGTGGAAACGGTCACGTAGTTTCGTAGCTTAGCTGACACATCCTCGCAGCATAGCTGCATAGCACATCTCTACATCTCTGGTGGAAAAACACCCTAACGGCCATGTCGAAATTCTGCTACAATTTCTAAGGCTGCAAAGCAGCGCCTCTCATCTGTCAAAATACATAGTATTTGGTATGGAAGATAAACGGGCGGTCCGTTGATAGACTTTGTTTAACCACTACATGCATGTTTAATAATAATATTTTCTTTGTTATATATTCAGGAATCAGGATCTATTTAACCGTTATTTTTGTCCTAACTAAATACATTTTCCATAAAGTATGTATAAAAGAAAAATGAATTGAGAATAAATATTTGCGATCATCACACAAATAATGTCCTACCGGGATTAGAATTCATTCCCTACAAGCAGATGGCAGGATTGCCCTCAATGCACCAACCGATCATTTGGTATCACGATATTGAAACGTATTTAGAAGCAAAGTACCCATAAAATTTATATCAGTATGTAATTGGTAAACCACAGCTAAAACTAATACATTCGAATGGTAACTATTCCGAGGCTGAACCACGAAATTTGACAGCTTCGTACTCACAGAACACAGAAAGAGGTTAGAAGGGCTTGTGGGCGGGGCTGGCGCGCCACAGTTGTGTGAGCAAATGCTCATAACTAGACCAAAACTTGGTTCTCGCTGCGGCGTCGTTGCTCTCGGCTGTGAGCGGCGAGATGAGTGATTGGTTCGATTGTTTAATGTCGCGTCGTTTGATTGGCTATTATCTTTTAGGTGGCAGTGTAGCGGGGGCGCCATCGGTTCCCGTACAAACGGTCTCTGATTAATACATTCTAATCTCTTTCTGTGTTCGTACTCGTATCGTCATCGTCAATTTTTTATGGAAGCCGTGTAAGGAGCTAGTTTGTTCTTACGTCTGTTACTGCTTAGTTTTCTTAGAAACTTTGACGAGTCGATACGATTACGGGGGTGTCAAACTTCATGCTTGGCCCTCTGGTAGCAAACCTAAGCCAAATCACAAATTAAAATTAAATACAATAAAGTATATGTTGCTGAATGAAATTAAGATATATGCTTGGTAATAGAAGATTTACTTACACGGATTTGCCTGATGAACTCATCCAAGCTGATGGATCCGCTGTTGTCGGTGTCGAACTTTTTGAATAGCTCGTCGACATCCTGAAAACGTCGTTCACATCAACAGTTCAATATTCATAGTTAGTGGTTGACATGATGATATTTAAATATATATTAAACATGATTGCATTTCAAATTCAAACTGCGAGCGAATGTTTCATATGCGAAAGTTATATTATCTTCCCTGTTAGGTTTTTAATTAAGGCTAACTCGCTGAACCAATTTTATTATAGCTGAAGGGTAAAGAGGAATTTTGTTACTATCTATGTATGTATGTATTTATCACAAAGATCAAACTCAAATGTAAAGAAGAAACACGATTTGAAAATTTAATGGGGTAGTATAATGATATTGATGTCAACTCTGGCACGATTCTCGAAACTTAAAACTAAAAACATCAGTCTCACCTTTTCATTTTGAATAGAGCGTGACAAGAATACACTGTTGTCAAATATAAGTTTAGGTTTAGAAAATCATGCCAGTATCGACACCACAGATAAATAACTAAAATTGAAAATGTCACTCAGTGTTTAATTGAAACTGTTTAGCGAAGAAAAAGCTCCTAGTTCAAATTAGTAACATAGTTATGGGGTCATGGCTACACTACTCCCAGAACAACGTAAGTCCTTACGTAAGTTGTTTACTTATAGCAGGAGATGAATTTTGTTTAAACTTATTTCCACAAACATCTAATAAATGGTGGCCCTATTATCTACCAGGTAAACGGACAATTGTAGCAGAGAACTAGTATTTTGTAACGAAGCTCAGGCAGACGTTTCAATTAGGGCGTTTCATTTCGTTTCATTTTTCGGGCGTTTCATTTCGACACCTAACCTGTTGTTTAAAGTGAGTTTTGATTACCCATACTTAAAAAAACCATTACATTCGAAAGTTCCGATATGGGTTGATAAATCATGTTCACCTTTTTGTCGAGATCCAAGCCAGTATCCTTGAGCCCGTTCACAAATTCTTCATTATTCAATTGCTTGCTGCCATCATCGTCCATTCTTCTGAAAATCCTGTAAACAAAGGTAAAACGGTTCATTCATTATGTTTTCAAACTTGACCTATTTAATAAACAAGGGATTCGGATATAAATATGAGATCGCCGGTCTGACACATACTCTCAAGGCCTAATCCGAATCCTCTACCAAGTTTATTTAATTTAATTCTGATTATGTTTAATACTGAAGTGTGTAGTTTTTCTTCAGGAGAATGATATTTCCAAAGACACGGTAGGCTTAGCTGTTTCTTTTATTTATCGTTGATGACTTACAATCAAAGTATTTTCTGTATAAGCTCCTCTTATTCTAAGACCCCTAGGGGTGACAGGGCAACAGGGCGGCACTGCAGGTCACATGCACTTCTGTACCAGCAGATTCTCGTATAAAATCTTAACAGGAGTGGCAACATACCAGATGTCCAGTCCAGGCGCCACTTTGTCGCGCAAATTGTCGAGAACAGCAGAGCGCTTACACTTTTCGACTTCCCTTGGATGACGTGTGTCTCAAGAGCGCAGTATAAGCTAGATTACAACTCGCCTTCTCAAGCCCGTGATGCATGAGATGCCTCGAAATACGAGAGGGACAGCACAGCAGGCGGAATATCTCTTCAGGACGGTTTAAGACTAAAAGCTGCGTGTGCTCTTCTACATAAGCTCCAGGCGTGACAAAAAAGGTGCATTTTGTCGACCTACCTGAACTACAGTGAGAAGCACAGTAGGCGGAGTTTCTCCAGTGTATCAGTCTTGGACTTCAGGGCGTATGCACTCTTCTATTTGAAGATCTTGAGCGGGCTCCTTCTCTTACAAAAGTGGTCTTAGAAGTGGTAAAATAGGTTGATTATGGCGACTCACCTGCACAGCCCCATGATACCAGAGCCGCCTTGTGAGAGATAGATCAATCTAGGGGTCTACTATTCCTATAAAATCTCTATCAGTCAAGAACTGCAGGATGCTTAAGATCTTCTGCATTTCCTTTCATTCAGCGTGCTTATTGAAACAGCAACAATTTTCTGCATTAGCTCGTCGCCTTAGAGTCTCAGGAATAGCAATAAAGGTGCATTATTTCGACTCTATTGAGAACTATTGTTTCTATTGAGGACAGCAGTATACGATCGCTATTCTGCATTAGCTCCTTGCCTTAGAGTCTCAGGAATGGCAATAGGTGAATTATTTCGACCCACCTCCCAAGCCCCATGATGCCAGAGGCGCCTCGTGAGAGGCACAGGAGGCGGAGTTTCTCCAGCGGGTCGGTTGCGTTCTGCAGGGCGCGGGCGCTCTTCTGCATCAGCTCCTCTTCTTGCCGCGACGTTGCCGACATCGGCCTGTGCCATGCTACTGTAGAATTGAAGAAACAATATCATTATAATGATCATCCATGTTAAAAAAATATTTTTTCAATGCTATCTACACAAAGTCAATGTACTTTGTACGAACTGGCAACTCAGTATTGGAAAGGTAATCAATTTTTTAAGCAAAGGCATATGAATGGGCAGAGTAATTTTGGGGTTCATTTTATATTATCTGCAATGGGGACAATCCCTACACGGGACCATCTGTGAAAAGGACCATTCGTAAATAAGACTTAAGTAGGTACTATTAATCCACTCGAAGAGGATAGAATATACAATTTCGACCACCCATTCAATAAACGGCCTTTGTGATAGTTACATAAGTCCCAGTCTAGAACTCCAGATACGCCAACTTCAAGAGTGGTAGGTACTTAGGACTTAGCGGATTTTCGCTCGTGTGGCTTTCTGCGGAAACAAATCCCAATCCACACAGACAGTCCAGGGCTCTGCAGGGTAATGATTAGGTTCAAGCAGACAAGATGGGGTGGCGAAATGGGCACATTTGCTAACGGATTTTTAAGCGAATTGGGCACGAAAAAATTACAATGGGAGTTCACTCCATATGGGAGATTATTGTTTTGATGATTTCAGTGCTTTTTCTCCGTCATATCGGAGTCCATAAAGCACCTACAGTTTTTATTTTAAACACCTAATTTACAATGACGGTCTGTACAAGCACTTAGTCAGCATAATTTATTAGTCATTCTATTCATAACATTCGTTACTAGAATACTTACATTTGAAATATTAGGTAGGTGGGTACCTGCCTATTTCACGCTACATTATTTTATCGTCGCGTTCGTCATGCAAGCGACGCACCTTTATTTCCAAAACAGCGACTACAATATAAATTTAAACCATATATGTACTTAGGTAATAGAATTTAATTAGTTTTTCGTATATTTTTTATGATACTAAGTTAACACTATTATAGGAGCTTGGCGCAGTATTTAGGTTAATTTGTAACACGAATCCGCACTGGGCCTACGTGATGGGACATCATAGCACATTTTCCCTACCCATCCCTAGGGAAAGGAAGATATGCGCAGCTTGTGCTCCAACAATGGGGTTATTAATTTTCTTATGATAACAGAATAAATAAAGGGATTGACCAATAATTTTGTAGGTAATAATTCTGCAAATCATTTCCGCATCTACCAACTATAGGTATATAAATTACATATATACAATTTAAAACAACAGAAACAATTATTTCCCCTCTCCGAATGATTTAGGATTTCAATAAAATTAAAAAATAAAATTATCAAAATCGCTATAACTGTTTCAGAGGACTTTCGACGAAAAAGCTTCATTGGAGCGACTATTATAGAATTTGATCACCTAGGAATACGTATAGAAAGTACAATAGTCCTTATTATAGTAAGAGTAACACGTTTTTTTTTATTTGTGGCTAACAACGAAACAATGCTTGTTGGATAATTTTTATTTTTTAAATATAACAAGTAAGTTGGCAATCTAGGCAGATAAGAACATTGAACCAGCAATTTACATAAACTTTCCCCGTTAACCACTCGTATAATTTTGTGGTGGTTACCCGCATATACAACGTATCACGGTTATCGATCCCCGAGGCCCCTTAAGTAATTTAGGTGCCACGTTACAATTACCCTAATTTGACATTATAGTTTTTAGGGATCCGTATAAAACAACAGCTGCTGACACTAGAAAGTAAAAACCTGCACTGTCCGTCCGTTTGTCGTCAGTCTGCGGGGCTGCACCTCATGAACCGCAATAAACAATATCTCATACATATTTATAGTTTTTTTAAATATATGTTGGAAAAGAATGAGTTCTTATTGTTTAACGGTTTTGTTATTAGGCAGTCGGTTTTTATTATTTCTATTAATTAAATCACATTTATAAATGGGAATTTTCTGTGATGGTAAACAATGTTTTTGTTACATTTGAGATCGAAACATAAACATAATAGTTTGGAGGATCTGGTTAAATCAGAGAAATGTAGAGTGTATCTACAAGCAGGTATGTATAGCTCAGTCACAGCAACTAATGACCCATAGATTCAGACATTATTATCATAATATCCTAAAGGTTGACTGGCACAGAATGCTTTTAGCGTTAAGTCCGCCTTTTGTCCATTTTGTAATTGTGGCAATAAAGTTTAAATATATAATAATGGTGTCGATTCTGGCGTGATTCTCTAAACTTAAAACCAAATGTAACGTCAGTCTCGCCTTTTCATTCTATATAGAGAATGACAAGGATATACTGCTGGCAAATTTAAGTTTAGGTTTAGAGAATCATGCTAGAATCGACACCAACTTGTTTGACTTTACAGTAATAAAATACTTACGAAACAATTAAAGGACACAGTTCAAAGTATGGAGGGTGGTAGGGTAAGTGTTCCAGTGAATGAACACCCCCCAGTAAATGAACAAAAGTGAGCTTTTTCAATAAAATAGGAAAACTAATGATTTCTACTAAACCCAGTATTTTTTTACAAGAGAACTGGTTACAATACATAATCTGTTGAAACAAAAAATATTCCGTAAGCTGTAATTACAAAATGGTGACTGTTTTAAATTGACGCGTTGTGTTGCATCTGCGTTTGTACGAGCAAGAAAAACAGACTCGAAACGCGACGCCACGCCACGCGTGTTGAGTCAAAGCAAAATGTACCATTTTCAATGATCAGAATCACATTAAGAACATTCCACGCTCTGATGCCAGATTGGGGGGATTCCCCCCAAATTTGGGGGGTTTTTAAAGCGATGGGTGGATATTTGGGGGGACAATATTTTTAAGGGGATTAATGGGGGGAAGACATTTGGGGTTGGGGGGAAAGGGATTTCGTGTAAGTTTTGGGGGGAAGGCGAAATGGCTTTCTGGATTCGACACGACGTGATACATCATAGAAAATACGCGAAGCATGGCGTAGGCTGGCGCGTCGTATTTTATAAGTCTGTTGTTCTTGCTCATACAAACACAGACGCAACCCAACGTGTCAACTATCTTCTACACTGATTAATAGATATGCAGGCCTTCTTTGTTTTTAATTCAATATGACTCGCCGAATTCAGTTTGTTATCAAGGATTACGCCCAGATATTTCACTTGTGTTGATAGGGAGTTTGGTATTAGCATTTTTGAGGGCTTCTAGTTACTTTGAAACACAAGTTATCAAAAAAAGAAAGACATAGGAGCATAGAATGAGCAAAATTATATTTTATGTATGGAAAATCAATTCTTTAGTGATAAAAAAACCGGCCAAGTGCGAGTCGGACTCGCGCACCGAGGTATATTATATATTTAGTATTAGTTACAAAAATGATCAGACCTTCCATAATCTAACAAATCATATAGCAATAGGTGAAAGAATAAAATACCATGATAACTAGAAACGCGTAATCAACGAAACTTACTTTCGACGAAAAAAAATGCAAGTAGGCTGGATTTAACCAGAGCTTAACTTGGGTTCCCATAGATCTAGTATCTATAAATAGATACTCAGGCCTTTATTATAGAAAGATTCTCAGTGATTGATTGATCTAGTCTTGAGCATAGTTAGAAAGGGATGTGGTTATATATAGCACATAGCGATCCTTTCTAACTGTACTCAAGTAAATATCAACACTTAGTTGTCATTCTACATATAATACGGACCTCATACTCAGACTACTACAGACTAAAAAAATAACGTTTGTTATGATAGACAGGCTTATATAGGGATTTTCGAACACGATTTAAAATTAATCGGAGATAAATAAAAACATATTAATATTTGTTCATGTTATTACATAAAACACCCTTTCAAATGGGTGTTCCATCGCTGCTGAAAATCGCCTACCACTTTTGAACCTTCTCCTTGAATACACTTTCTTTGCGAATATCGTTTTTGGAGCTAAGTTAGTGGGAACATGAACTACGTAATAATGGCGGTAACGATGACAGATTGTACAGGGTCTTAGTCCTTGACAGTCATGTATAAAAATATGAAAAGTTGTTAACAAGTTAACCAACTTAAATAGAGTGAAAGTTAATTATACCCAGGACGAAACACTAGTTCAAATGTACTTCTTGGGTCGTAGGTATGATAAAATTTAATTACGGTACTGTAGGTAGTTTATGATAATACCTACATAAATGTTTGGATTGATTTATCTGTCAAGTAAATTGCTAAATAATGAACCAAGCGAAATGCTAAAATTATATCTCAAATGAAAAAAATACATGAATTGCAGTATACTCTCTTTTTGAGTAGTTCGTGTACTGTACAGATAATGATTATTTTATTCGTATCAGTCAAGCAGGTAAATTATGAAGTTCCCAGTAAAAAGGTAATCCATCCGCAAAACCAGAAATGAAACCAATATGAAATTGTTCAAGTTTTGAAAGTCAAACTCTTATTAAATTGTCCTAAACTTTTTCATTCATATTTAGAATGTCAACAAGCATGGATGGTTCAGTGGTAGTAAGCTCGCCTGCCACGCGGGCGGCCCGGGTTTGTATCTCAGCCGAGGAAGGACTTTTTTATTATTTTCACCACTTTTTATAAGTCAAATTTACATTGACATGTAAGTATAGGTAGACTTTAAAAGTTTTACTTGTTTTTTTTTGGCGATATGGAAATTAACCCAAAGTGAGCAGGGGCCCAGCAGTGGAGCACAGTTTTTTTTTATAGCCAGGTAGGCAAATGAGTCTACCCCACCTGATGTTAAGTGGCGATAGAGTCCAAACGCGAAGATAGCTGGTACAGGAGTTATAAACTGACACACCAACCATCCTCACCTTGCTGGCCTGCAAAAATGCTTCTTCATGCCTCTCTTAAAGGACCCCAGATTGTAGGGAGGAGGGAACACGTGCGCGGGCAAAGAATTCCACTTACGAATAGTACGACAAAGAAATGAGTCACCAAATTTCCTCGTTCGTGTAGGAATAATGGCCACTGTAAGTCGGTGACAACGTAAGCCAGCGCGCGTGGTCCTCTGAAGAAAAGGTGAAGGAGGGA